AAGAGGGATGGCCATAAACCATTAATCAATTTATCCCAGGCATTTACCAACATATGTATAGATGTATATAATAACCCACCCCCAAAAAATAGACAATTAAAATCCAATCTATCCAATCCCCGAAAAAAAAAAATGTAGATTAAAGCAATACTTGTTTCATTGGTTTCAGCCGGTGCCGAGGTGGCTCAAGCTCCAACCAAGCATTGAAAGGCTTCTCCAAGGCGGCCTGTTGGGTAGCGATGCTGGAGGCTACATGATACTTGATGGCTTATCCAACTTACCCTCTGGTAAACTAACATAACTATGGAAAATCACTATTTTTCATGGGAAAATCCACTAGAAATGGTGATTTTCTATAGTTATGTTAAATTACCAGAGGGTACTATACGTAGCTTAAATCCCTGGTTATGTTCGTGAAATAAGTCGCGTCAATCCACTTATAATTGGGGCGAACTAAGCTACTTACGATCTGTGGGATGATCCACCAAGTATGTGCCTGGAAAATATCCTTTTGCATCCTTTCATCACCAACGTTTATGAATCTGGGATATATATATATATACTGGTTGGTGGTTTGGAATATTTTCCATATATTGGGAATAATCATTCCCAACTGACTAATATTTTTCAGAGGCTTGAAACCACCAACCAGTATATTATATGTATATATTTGGTTATGGATATATGATGGGTTTGAGAATTATGGGAAATATGATGGGTTTGAGAATTATGGGAAATCCGGTTCCGTCCACGGTTTTTTTCGTCATTTTCCCCCGCGAGACTGTCATTGAGAAGGGGATATATCATCGGCCCATGTTCAGACACACCCAAACGTAGCCTCTGGTAATTTGTTACATAGCTATTGAACATGGCCCAGTCGAAATAGTGGATTTACCCATTGATAGCATGGTGGATCTTTCCATCGTTTTTTGTATGTTTACCAGATAGTCCAGCCAGTCCAAGCGGTCCCACTTGACTGGACTTTCAACTGCTCGATTGACCAAACCGGTGTTTGGATCATTTTGGAGCCACGTCAGATGTAGGAATGATATAGTAGCTGTATGTTTGCCCTGAAAGACATCCGGAACAGCCTCAATGGCCTTAATGAAGACTAAGACTATACATCATTATATATATATATATTATAATATCTAATATATATAGATAGATAGATAGATAGATAGAATCACATAGATATTTCTTTCATCTATGATTTTGGGGAGATCCAGCCGGGATAATCATCTGGGGTCTCAGGCTTCATCTCGAAAGTCAAGGTGCCTACAAAGCGGTCTCGGGGCTTTGTTCTTCGTGGTGCAACATCTCTGGAGTCACTAGGTCCACGAGGTCAAAACAAGTCTGTATCTTGAAAGATGTGTTTTTTTTCCGGATAGGATGTAAGTGTTGAAAAATGGATGGACATGACTTAGATTGCATTTATGCACCGAGTTTGTTTCATGGTCTCCAGAACTGATGCTTAAAGACGGCCCATTCCCATATCCCCATGAAGCTGACAGGCTCCGGCAAAGACAGGTTTGGAAGTCAGCTCACTCAGCGGGATGCCAGACCAGGTGAGCGCTGAAATGTTGCGTCAACTTAAGATTGATAAAGCTCCAGTTTACTTATATATATATATATATTGTTTTTAATTATACACACGTATACATATATACATATATATATATACATATGCATATGTATATATATATATATGTGTGTGTTTGTGTGTTATATATGTATACATATATGTATATATGTATATATATATATGTATATATGCATATATATATGTATATATGTATATATGTATATATATAGATATACATATATGTATATATACATGGAAAAGTACTGAAAGTATCGTTCATTCTTTGCTTCTCGGCACCCCCGAAAATAAGCCTCCTTGTGAGCAAAAGATGTTTTGGTCAATGGGTTGACATCAAACCAGATCCCCTTCTGATGGGCTGGGTCTCCCCAACGGGATGGTTTTGACGGCGCCCAATGGGTCTCCCCATGCTGGTTTAACCTTGGTGAAGGGTTGCTAGTTTAATACTACTTTATGTCAATTTCTTGTCAAATGAGGATACACCTTTTATATGTGTATGGCCAGCTGCAATAATTAGTTCTTGCAGAGCATCTACTGAAAGGTTTGCCATGTCAATGAGACGCTCTTTTCATGTTCTTCCTGGTTCTAGATAATTCTCACTTCAATTGACAATGTAATGTATGTTAATGTAATGTCATATTGTTTGGGTGCCAATTCACAGCAAAAACTCATCCAATCAAGCGCTGATCCAAAACCTTCAGTGCTAGAGTCTGATTTACGCAGTAGTGGTTTTTCATGGGTTTTTCTGTACCACAAAATGGATAAAGATGGGACCATCAGCAAACTTGCCCTTGTTGTTCCCAAAAAGCAATGGCCATCAAAAATATATTATCACTATCTGCGCCATGTTGCGGTTGTTTGCAGAAATGACTTTGTTGAATGGATTTTGAAAGTATCCATCCTGCAGAGCCTCCGTTCATGCCAAGTCTTTCTCAGGACTTTGGTTTCGATGACTTTGATTTGAATGGAGATGGCTATATCACCCGAGAAGAGTTTGATCAGGCCGGGACTTCTTGACTTCTCGTCACACGTAAAACAAGTTGCGGATCAGTCTTTGAATTTTAAATTTATATAGTTTGGCATCAAGGTTCATAGCTGGAAACAAATGAAACATGAAGGCTTGCGCGAAAAGGTTCGGCTACTTGTAGGGTTTTTGTGTTTTACACCATTGATTTCAACAAGGAGATCCAGGTCTTGACGGGCGTCTTGATGGGACCTAATATTTTAGTCACGTGACAGAGCTGTGGAGTGTGACAGTTACAGCATGTTCAGTCGCTTCCAGGATATTGTTTCCTTTTGTATGTACCCATAGGATCCATGGTGCTGCTATATATGGTAACATGGATACCATCAATATGCCCCAAATGTTAGCATATATACCAGCACCATGGATCCTTTGGGGTATGAAACTGTTCAATCGGTTTGCGCTGGTCGATTCAGAAGCACTCTGGATATTGCAAGACGTCGGTCATCTAGGGTCATCGACCGGGTCGGTCATGGCAGGAACTTCTGACGACCAACATTTGATGTTCAAAGATGAACAAAAAGTCCCAAAACTTGTTGTTTCTTCAATCAACTTGTCGAAAAAACTTAAGTTCTTGTTTCTTTCTACTAAAAACACCCTACATTTCATTTTTGATAAAGCCATGGTGCTGGGGTCGATGTTCCGAAGCGTTCCGAAGTTCTCGAGGTCCGGAGCAGGATCTTGAAGGGTGAGCCTTTGCCGACCAAGGTCCGCTTGGTGCTTTGGAACCATGGATTTTTATGACTTTCCAATGATTTTTTCCCAAGAAATATATGGTTAAATATATGGTTAAATGAATTTTTCCCAAGAAAATTCCCAATATATGATATATGGTTAAATATCCAATAATTATAATATGTGGATGATATATTCCCATTTTTTATGACTTTCCTATCATATTGGGAATCCATATATTTGGAATAATCAACATGACTAATATTAAGATTAAGCATCCAAAATATCCAACTGACTGATATTTGTTCATTTTATGACTGTCCTATCATATTGGGAATATCATCATCCCAACTGACGAACTCCATCATTTTTCAGAGGGGTTGAAACAACCACCAACCAGATATTTTTGGTGCCAGGAGGCTTTTTGCTACGATTTTGAAACAGGATGATTATCTGTAATTCGAATTTGGGGTTCTGATGTTAGTCACGTCCGCAAGTTTCGGGCTTTCCTTGCACTTGTGGGCCATACCATGAAATATTTTGTTTCTGATACTTCTGCGTCACCGGCTCGTAGCGGCATGACATACCAGGTGTAAACGGATATGATAATAGCATTATAATAGCCACAATGTGAGGCCCCCCAGTGATGTGAATGTTGGCTAAGATTCGCCCCAGTAACTAGTTCGTTATTTACGTACCATAAACCATAAAATTGGAGTTCACCAAGTGAACGCTATCTTGGGGGCCTCACATTGCTATCGCCAGATTTGGAATTTTTTGGATCAGGAGATGGGACCATGGGACTTGGGGAACCTGGGGAGCCTGGGGAGCCTCTTCGGCTCCAGTTCGTGTTCGGAGGGTAAGGACAAACTAAGATCAACGAAGTAACCAGTCAAACTAAGATTGTATTCCCATAATCATTGACTCATTGACTCATTGACCCTTGAAAAAATAGCCTTAAGCAATAGCATACCATCAGTTGTTGAAGATGATTGACAAGGACTAATTATGGTCATGAATAAACTCCACAATTGTGATAATAGCATTTGTAATAACCAGCCATCAGTTTCTGGTGCCTCAAAAAAACATGGGGTGGTTATTATTACATTTTATTACAAGGTTGGCTACTAATCCCATTAACTAAGAACAACAATTGGCAATCCCACGATCAGGGTTACTAAGTAATCATTATTTATCACCATTAATAATTATGATTCACTTCCAATCATTATTAATCCCTATAAAGCACCATTGATAGATAGATGACTAGTTAATGATTATTACACTTATGGTCCTTTACCAGTTATATGTCAGTATCCCATTTATGGAATGACCCCATGAACATAACCATAACAATCACTGGTATGTCCGGCCTTAACTGTAACGCTGGGGTTCAGTCCGCCAGGCGAAGCCAGCTGTGAAGCCGGCGCAAGCTGTGAAGTTGCAAGAGGCGCACGAGAACTCCGGAGCGGTTGGAAGTTGTAATTAAATATATAGCTATTATAGCTATTATAGCCAGTATAGCCAGTATAGCTATATTATAGCTGTTATAGCTATTATAGCTATTATAGCTATAGTATATATGCTATAGTGATTCAATGTGATTAATAGAGTTTAATGATGTTTAGTACTGATCAATGACGATTTTCAGAGTGATTCACTTGGAGCTGCCGCAGTCATGTGAGGCTGTGCCCTTGGCGCCATCAGCTCCGGCATCAGCTCCGGCATCAGCTCCGGCATCAGCTCCGGCATCAGCTGTGAAGGACCAAATCGGGAAATGATGGACTCACGGAGGATGGTAATTCTGTGTAATTAGTCAACCCTGGATCGATCTAAAGCCCGATTCTTCAATTGGGAGGGTACCATAAAAAAGTATCAGATGAATGAAATGACTATTGGAGGAGTACCCCCCTAATTTTCATAAACCATGGTGAGACGTCTCATCCGGGGTTGACGACATTCAAAAAAGTGGTCGGTGTGGTCGGTCAGCCGCCAGAAACCAAGCCAGAGCAAGTTTCTCCGCATCGGATCAGACAGAAGAATTTTGTTCCGAAAAAGCTGACAATAACTGATTGGTGGTTTGGAACATTTTTTATTTTCCATAATATATGGGATGTCATCCTTCCCATTGACTAATATTTTTCAAGATGGTTGAAACCACCAACCAGAGTTTTATGAAGTTTCCAACATCAGAATAAACTTGATCAGAACGATTCAGTTCGATTATATCATTCTTAAGTTCCGAATCATTGTTTTTCTATGGATCATCAGACAATAAAGTGATCATTCTCGATGTTGGGCCAGCACTCCAGCAAACATATTTTTTGCATCCAGGAAATGGAAAAAAAACCGTTGGAGTTTCACCAGCAGAGTACATTTCCAGGTAGTGATCAATGGATATCAATGTATCATCAGCATGAATTTTGATGCCAAGGAGCAAAGCCAGCGAAGTCCCGCTGATGAGGTGAATGCTGGAACCCACGGGGACCACCAGTTCCATTGGTTTTGGAAGACCATGGGTTATAGCATGTTATAGCCATTTGATGTTTTGGATCTTAGAAAACAAGAATTTCTGTTTTTTTTTCCTTTCCCAATGGGGTTTCAATGTGTTTAGTTTAATTAGCAGCCATAAATGCAAACAAGATCTCCTGAAATCTAGTGCAGCAATAGCATGCAATAGCAATGTTCACGTATTATGTCCCCATTTTGGGGTGCTAAACCAATATTGATGAAATCTTGTTGAACTTTTCCCCAGGCAATGTTGACATCCGATTTGACTTTGACTCACTTTATTATCTTTATTGTGGCGGGGTTTATGGTAGCCTGAAGTATAGAGTACTTGTTTCAAAGATGATCAAAGATGTGTGTGTGTGTTACAGCCGTTCCCCATTGAAATGGTTTGAACAAATGCTTCCACCGATGGACCTGTTGGCAGTTTCTTACTTAAGGGACAATTTGGGATCTCTTCATCTCTTCCGGAAGACCTGTGGGCTCCATGAATTCCTAAGATGAACCTTTTCCTATACATCTGCTGTTGCTTTTTGTTCGCCTCAAACAACTAGTCAACCACGCTCGCAGAACAATCCTATAAATGGACATAATATCTGGTTGGTGGTTTCAAACATTTTTTATTTTTTTATTTTTTCCATAATTGACTAATATTTTTCAAGATGGTTACAACCACCAACCAGATATAATCGTTATTAATTTCACCATATCACGATGATATCTTGATTTTCCCAGCGTCAGGCGCTTGGTCGTGCACTTCGTCGCTCGGTCTACTCGCGCGCTGCCAGCATGCAGAAGGCACGGCGTTCCAAGCAATTGAGCGAGGTTTTTCATGAGGAAACCATAGGAAAGCCATAGGAATATATAGGAAATCCATGGAAATCCTCGTTAAAAATGTAGGTTTAGGAAAACATCTAGGAAAACCATAGGCTCATGGCTGGGATAGCCTACGAAAAATTGTCAGTTCATGGCTTTTACCTATGAAACATGATGATAATTCAGGGGTTCTGAATAGGAAATCACCGAGTTAAATGGAATTGCTGGGACAAATCAAGTATACATGCTGGATTTTCAAGCAAGCCATGTTTGCTTCCCAGAGGGTAAGTATAGATTGTTTAGTGGTTATTTTTATAGCATTCCATAGCCATATAAGTGTGGCTACCATCATAGGCCAAGTGTTCACTCAAGTGATTCTGCCAGATTCATCCAATGATTTGACGGTGTAGGTGTACTGGTTGGTGGTTTGGAACATGAATTTTACTTTTCCATATATTGGGAATTTCATCATCCCAACTGACGAATCATATTTTTCAGAGGGGTAGGTATACCACCAACCAGTGTATTTTTATCAGGTCTGATGATTTTCAAAGTAGGGGATCTAGGAACCATCAAATGCTTTGGCAACCTTTGGCTACAATAATGATAACAATGATTGGTCACCTTGAGAGTAGATGACCAAACACAATGATTGGTCCCAGTATAAAAAGATTTTGATGATTTTATGTTAACGTTTGTTCTACTAGAATCTAGAAATCACATCAAATTACCCATGTTAACTGCTGGCGAAGCCTTTTTTATCCATGGTGAATCTGTCAAATGCTGTTCCGAGCTGGCAGGTGAGGGTCAGTTTGTCTGCCTCAGACCTTGTCCAATTAAATGTCAGAGCGGATGTCACAATACATGGCAGAATATAAAGTATAATGTCAAGTTAGGATTACAGTATATAAGTATATATCTACTAGGGATTAATCAACCACCACGCAGGACATCCATTTTTTTTGAGATTGATATCAATTGAAATCCTTACGAATCTTTTGATTTCTTCTAGGTTTACAAGGAAACAACAGTTGAAAGTTGATATCAATTCGAAGTTGATATATGAACTTACAAGGTCGATCAGAACCTTCCCTTGCCATATGAGATACGCTGAAAATAAGCGTAGACTACCCGTAGCAAGGGAGGGTCCGTGTCCAGAAAGTGCACCAAACATCACCAAACCATGCAAAGCGATAGGGCCTCCCCCAAAAAAACGATAACTTATAACCATAGAGTGCATTAAACCTGGTGTAAACCAAGAACATATTGTTGTGCACCTTCACGCGATAGGCAAAATTGATGAAGAAAATTCAACCTGCAGTGCCCACGTTTCTTGCAGTGGCCATGTCTTTTGTTTTCTGCAGGCATTTTGTTTTTTTTCTCCCAGGTCCCAAAGCAGTAGAATTAAACTAAACTAAATGACTAAATGCATTTGAATTCTGAATTGCATAAAAAAATGTCTAGTTTAATTTGAAATTATTATTCCTTTATTTCCTTTTTTTCTTACCCTCATTTGTCCTTTTACTTTCCTTTTAAAACTAAGCGCAATTGAATTCTGAAGTAAATCAAAATTGATTTTGATTCCAATTCTGAATTCCATCTATTTCATTTTTTCCTTTTTGTTTCATTTGTTTGGCCTTTTCATTTCCTCTTTCTCTTCCTTTCTTGATCATCCTCCTTAGCGAGAACCTAGCGATAACCTTTTGTTGAAAAAGGGACCCCGGACGAGGGATAGACTCATTTGACCACAGCGATATCCTTTTTCGATTTCATAATTTTCATAGAATTATTGATCTTATATTGGTTACTGTCATTCTAGTTTGGAGTTGAGATTGTAATAAAATTCCTTTCTGAGGAAAGAGTCTCGGAATGTGCTTGGGTAGCTCCCCAACATGGTTGCAAACGCCAAGACAACGAGCGCCGAGCGCCCCCTTAATCCATCCCCGGCAGTTTAGAGATCTGAATCCGTGAAGCCAATTCCGCTGCATGTTTGCATTTTTTAGTGTTGATTTGAATAAAACACTGTAAAGCGATAGGGCCCCCCAAAAAAAGCAATTTCAGAGCAAATGTCAGACTAAATGTCACATGAAATTGGCCAGATCAAACATCAGACTGTTGATGTCAGACTCTTTGCCAGCAGAAATGTGTTGTGGAAGATTTACCAGAAGATATGTCAGAAGGTATGTTAGGATAAATGTCAAAATATATGTCAAATTGACATAATTTTATCTATGTGGTGTTTTGGTGGTCGTTGAGTTTCGTTTGGATTTCCAGGTTCTGTTTACATCTCACTAAATGAATTACAGTAAACTCACCTCATGACGTCATCATCCCAGCCGCAGGCTTGCAGGTTAGTGAATCATTACTTACAATTCAGCCATATACAGATTGTATGTATCAAAAACATCATATATACACATAATCATTGTACATATTAATCGTACATATCAGGATTGATAAAAATTATAACCGTCCAGTCCCGTATATCAGAACTGCTGGCATGTAGGTGACATAAAATAAGCAAAATATTCCGTGGGTTTAGTGTCCATTCTTGCAATTAATCGGGATAAATTATAATGACCGCACTGCGACCTCATTAGAATGATGGTTAGTAGGGGAAACAATCGGGAAATCATTCTCAAATTGCCTTATTTCAGGTTAGTGAATATTACAATTTACACAGATTCTTGCAATTAATGATGACTGGTGCATTACGATTGTAGCGAAGATTGTCTGAAACTGGCTGGAACTCTGCCATCACCAAGTTTGAGCCATTAAAGATAGCATTGTTGATTGGTTATTACAAGGACTATACTTCCTAACTTGTGTGGGGGATTCTAATGGTCCATTATGGGAACCCCGATGAACTCATATTCCAAAATATTTTGCGAAACAAAATTACGAAATGAAACCAACACTAATCGAACTGTCATATTGATCATATTGGTGGAATTGGTAATGAAACCGGCATGTTTCGGTCAGAACCTCAAAATCGTCCATACTGTTAAATCGCCATTTCAGAGGTACCCTGAGAATTCTCAAAAATCACGATAAATTACAACGACCTCACTGTTCTCCCTCACTGGAATGATGGTTAGTAGGGGTAACTATCCCAAACTTATAGAATCTTATAGCCTTATTTCAGATTAATGAACTTAGTTGATGTGAGGGTGTCCATGGGTGTCCGTGTCCTTTGCAGGCCATCAGTTTGGGAAGCGAGCATTACGCATCTGTGCGCTGGTTTGTCGGGCAGCCCATGGTTGGGATGGCTGCATTTCAGAGGACAGACATGATTCCAATCCATTTCCCATAGGATCCATGGTGCTGGTATATATATTAACATTGGGGCTATATTGATGGTAAATGTTACCATATATAGCAGCACCATGGATCCTATGGGTTTGGATATGCGAAAAAAACGGGGTGTATATCCCCAAAACAATCCCACGTTTCCATGTTCATTGGAAACAGGTGACAATCGATCGAAATTGCTGGGTACAACATGGCACAAGATGAAATTGATTCACATCTTGGATGTCTTTCCTATTGATTGCACCTTTGATCCAGATGCCCCATGTTTTTTTCTAGTCAGATATCTTGGAATATTGTGGATATCAATGTCATGTGTGGGGATGGGCGCAGCCATCAGTCCTTGAAGATCATCAAGAGTCAATTCTGGTGATCCGTTTTGTGCTTTTTGAAACGATCCTAATCAACGACTATCAATGCTAACTTCCTGGTATCTCTATGTATGTATGTAATGTACTGTACTGTACTGTAATGTAGTGTAGTGTAGTGTAATGTATGTATCGATAGATTGATAGGTAGATAGATAGATAGATAGATAGGTAGATAGATAGATAGATAGGTAGGTAGGTAGGTAGATAGATAGGTAGATAGATAGATAGGTAGATAGATAGATAGACAGATAAATAGATATATATATAGATAGATAGATAGATAGGTAGGTAGGTAGATAGATAGGTAGATAGATAGATAGGTAGATAGATAGACAGATAAATAGATAGATATATAGATAGATAGATAGATAGATAGATCCCATTTAGTTAAATTGTAAGGACCTCACAGTATTGGGAACCATCGCATTGACCCTCAGATTGCCAATGCATCCAGCATCATCCAGCTATCCAAGCATCAGGTGCTACCCTCTGATAACATGGCTTTGCTGGATTTGTTCATTTCTTTTCCCATTTCATTTGATATATTTGATGATATTTGATGATTTTCCCGTTCACACCTCCATTTACAGGGCATTTCCTAGCCATGCTGGAATAGCTGTCCGGGCATCCGTTCAACTTTCCGGGAGTCGACTGTCTCGACGAGGTGAGGGATCTCTTCAAAAGAGCTGCCGTTCGCTCTGCAGAGATGTTCCTTGGAAGGTTTCCCCACAAAGAACCACCAGTTTGGTTGGCAAAATCCATAACTCTCCTGTCTGAGTTGGGCATTGGCATTGAAGTACCACTTAGTGATTGTTAAGCAACACTCTCACACTGAGCTTTTAACATGATTTATATAGTTTGTTTTTTTCCATGTACGGGCATCAATTAGCGTTTTTTTCCACCATGAGATGAAATTGCTCAATATCAATATCTATATATCCCTGCTCAAATTTCCAGTCAGCATGGTAGCCCTTGGGGTTTCCATAGAAGATGTGTTTCCCTACTAAAATGTATGTTTTTTCGTTTTGACTTTGATAGCCTTATCCTGGAAACAAACTACTCTCACAAAGAGGCTGGTGGAGGGCGTGCTCCATTTTCTATAGCATCATGTTGTAGAAGCGTGATTGGGAATATGAGACATCCATAGACCTTACCCACTGCTAGTGTACACCGTTTCTGGTTGCCTTGAGACTCCAACTTGAGAATCCTTGAATTTTCACGTCTTCATAACTCTTCACAGAACGCAGCCAGCCTGAAATTTCTTGACTGAAACCTGTATTTGCATCCCATGTAAAACACCATGTATTATAGATATATCTGACAGCATTGCGGCTCAGTACAAAAAGCGCTGGGTCGCTGGCTTAGCGGTTGTGTTTTATCCCCATTTGTTATAGGTTTATCAGTCTAGTTGGGATAAGTAACATCCCCTGCTGAAACCTGTAAATACAGGTTATCAGCCGTAGTCTCTAAAGCCATGGATAAGACTCACGATGCAACAGGTGGTGGTGCCCTTGTGCCTTCAACCGGAACAGTATCCGCAGCAACTGGTTCTCAACAGAGCTTGCCGGCTGGGACAAACCCCACGCCCATGTCAGTGGATGAAGGTTTCTTCACACAGCCCGTGCAAGCCTATTTCCAGTTCGTGCAAAACAATCTTACCTACATCAACGAAGGTAACATTGATGCTTTCAGGCAAGAGGCAGAGGAGAGGCACACACATCTCATGGAACAAAAGGTCCAGCAACTGTACCAAGAGTTTGAGGGAATTTGCCTTAGCGAAATCGCCCATCAACGTGCAGAAGCTGATCGCAGACATGAACACCTAGTGTCAGAGTATTCAATGTCCCAAACGGCAACTGAGCATGAGGTAGCAAAACTGAGACAGGAACTTAGCGATGCAAACGCAAAGCTGAAGAATGCTGCAAATGCAGTTGCACTGGAAGCTGAACAAAGAGCCAACCAAAAGGTAGCCCACGTTACAGCCCAGTACGAACAAAGGTTTTCTGAACTCAGAGGTAGCCTCGAGGCAGACTGTAAACGAATCGTGGATGAAACAGTAGAGTCCTCAGTAGAGTATGCAAAGAATGGCATGGAAGGTTTCAAGAAGGAGGAACAAGCTGTAATCCAGGAGATTAGAGAGGAATGCAGTAGGCAGGAAAACCAAGCTGCTGAACTCAACTTCCAATTGCAGGGACAAGTGGAGGATTTGATGGAGAAGCTCAACAAGTACAGCGCCCCGGAAATCAAGGTCGACAGAGCCGTCGAAGTTGATGATTCACAAGGCGGGAACAATGTCGATTTGTACATGACCCCAAAATCAGCGGTCGGTACCAAGGCTGGAGCAGAACCCATGCCAAACACTGGTATGAGTAGCTTAGCCATGGACGCCAAGGAAAGGTTGAGCAACTTGTTCTCAACAACCCCTGCCGGATCAGCAGCCCCTCCAAAACTGCCACCATTGCCAGTTCAAAGACAAAATGATGATGATGCAAACCAAGAACATAGTGTGCCCAGTCCTACAGTAATAGCAAGCGACCCTGGCAAGAAAGCAGCTGAAGCAGGCTTAGGTCTTTCAGGTCAACAATTGCTAGATCTCATCACTAGACTGACTTCAAAGGATTCAGATGGTGAAAAGCCCCGAACAAAAGAGGCAGAGACTATCAAACTGAACGACATGCCTGCCCCAGAAGCGTATCGTCACTGGCGTAATCATGTCAGGGATGAAGTGAAGTCGTGCTCCGACAAACCCGATGAGGCTTGGCTTTGGCTCAATGAAGTCTTTGACAACAAAACCCCTAGGGAAAAGTTGGAGGAAAAGCTGCAGGAACCTGGGAAGTTTATCACACTTGACACCAAATTGTCGGCAGCGTTAACTCGCTCGGCCAAAGGTGATTTAGCAACAAAGATCCATAACTTCAAAGATGAGAAGTCAAAGAAAGGGATCCAAGTCAGAGGTAGGAGAGTCCTTTTGATGTTTGAAGATTACTTCAGGACGTCTGAGGAAGCTGGCAGTCTCTACCGCGTCGAGGACCTACTTGGAGTCGTTCGCACTGGAGAATCTGTGGAGGACCTTAGAAGGTTTCTGAACCGATGGGACGCCACAATTGCCGGCATGGAAACCCCGCCAGATGATTTGGTTCTCAGAGACATCTTACTCAGACAAATCCGAAAATGTCAATTGATGAAGTATGACATCGAAGCATTTGACAGAGCTCCTGAAAAGTCAGAACAAAAGTCTTATGCATTCTTGTTGAGAAACATTCGTGATCTTTTGGATAGAGAAAGACTCCGTTCAAACAGAAACAGAATCGTTGAAAAGAACAAGCAGACCGAAAAGCCTCAGCCCGCTGCACCCGCTCAGGGGGGCAAAGATCGCGGCAAAGGAAAGGGTGATCGAGGTCGATCCCGTGGTCGTAGCCAGAGTGGAAAAGGGGATAAGATATGCTACAAGTTCAGGGATGGCAAGTGCAAAAAGGGTAAAGACTGTCCCTACAAGCATGTCAAAGATTCCTCAAGATCTGGTACCACCAAAAAGAAGGGTAAGGGCAAAGGTGGTAGCAGAAGTGGTTCCCCCAACAGAAAGTCAAAGGAAGAGATGGCCAAAATCCCATGCACTTATTTCCAACAGGGCAAATGTCGTCGTGGTGACAAGTGTTTTTACAAACATGAAGTTGCAGCTGCACCCACAAAGGATCCAAAACGCACCAATAGCCCTGCACCAAAGAAGAAGGCCAGTGCAAAAGCTGCGCCATGCATTACTCAAAGGTATGCATGGATAGCAAAGGGAAAAGGGTTGCCGAAAGCCACAAAGGCCATGAAAGAACAATGCCATAGAGCTATTGTGTTTTCATCAAAAGTGGAATACATCAAAGTCCCAGCAACAGGTGAACAGAGGAAGGTAGTGCACAAACCCCGAATCTATGAGAAGACGTTCCCTGATTCAGAGTCAGTGCCAAAACCCGACAAACTCGTGGCTCACCGTGCTCAGGTTTCGGCCCGACAGTTGCAGGAACTTGTGAAGCTCTTCGGCAGTGAGACGCAGCCCAAATGCCGATTCCGATGCAATGACCCAGAAGGGGGAGTATCATGCAACCACTGTAGAGCAATGATTGGTCCCAAGAACAAAGTCAGTAACACTCATTTGCCCACTGTTGCTACACCGGCATCAAAAGATGGATGTGTTTGGTTGGTTGACACGGGCAGTGAACAGGATTTGATTAGTGAGGGTATGCTGAAGACTGCAAAGGCGACAAACCGCCGTGTCAGCGATACCCCAATCAGCCTCGCTACAGCGAACGGTTCGACACGAGCGGATGAGGTGGCCGACGTAAAGGTCGATGCCCTACATCAGCCATTTTCACCATACATTCTCGAAGAAACTCCTGCTGTTCTTTCGGTTGGTGTCAGGTGTATGGAACAGGGTTACAGTTTTGTGTGGCCAGCTGATGGAAGGCCTTACTTCATTCGTCCGGACATGGGAGTCATCGAGCTTAACGTAGACGGCCGTGTGCCAGTTATTGATAGCTCTTGTCGTGTTTTGAACAGTGGACAGTTCAAGAAAGATTGTGACCTGTTACGTCTTTTTGCAATGGTTGCTGCAAAAGCAGAAGGTGCCGATGAAGAAGGCGTGGATGAGGGAGTAGCCGTAGCTCATGATAGCGAAACCGAGTACGTCAGGTCTAGAAAGGCATCTGACCTTGAGCAAGAGGCATGCAGCAAATCTCACCAGTTTTGCCATTACCCCAAGAATCCATTTTGCAAAATCTGTCAGAAGGCGCGCATGATGGCGCCACCCGCAAAGAAGAAAGGGGGACAGAAAAGGTTGGAAACCAAAAGTTTTGGGGATCACATTGTCGCTGACCATACTGTAATCAAATCCAATGTGGAAGAAGGCGTCAAAGGTGAAACAGTGGCATTGGTGATGAAGGACATTCACACTCAGTTCAGGCACGTCTATCCAAGTCAGACAAAATCGAGTGAGTCATGTGTTAATGCTTTCAACCACTTCTTATCTCACAAGGATGAAGTTGGGGCAGTTTACACTGACAATTCACGAGAACTTATTGCTACAATTTCAGAGTTGGGGTACAGACATCAAACATCAACAGAGTACGTGGACAGTTCAAAGTCGTTTGTGGAGAGGGAGATCAGGCACATGCTTGAAGGCACGCGCACAAACCTCGTGCAGTCAGGTCTTCCATTGCAGTATTGGCCAATGGCTATGCAGCATTTCTCCATGGCAGTGAATGCCACGCCACAGCTCAACGGTGATGATGCCCCATGGAAACTCAGATTCGAAGAAGATTTTCCAGGTCAGTTGATCCCTTTCGGTGCAAAGATACTGTTTTGGAACAATCCAAAAAGGGTTGACAACACATCTGGAAAGACATCACCAACAGCAAATGATGGAATCTTTTTGGGATACCATATTCAACCTGGTTTTGCATGGAAAGGTGAGTATCTTGTTGCCAAGTTAGAAGCATTGGATTACCATGCAGAAACGGGCAGCATCACAGTGCAGCGAGCACGACGTGTTGAGCTCATCGCGGGAGGTTTTGTCTTCCCACTCCGTGCATTGAAAGAGGCCAAAGAGCCCAAGCCGGACCGCCTAGTTGACAACGTCATTGCTGATCCTCGTCCGATTCCGTTTCAATCCGAACTGCAAACAGAGGAACATGCAGAAGCAAGTGAAGAAGCAATTGACAAGT